ATATTCTGCTCAGGGCAAATCGAAGGAACCGTCTTCGTTGCCATAAGATGCCTTCCAGTTACACGAAGCTCGCAAAGCCTACTTGAAAGCGTCGATGGACTTTTGTGTCCAATCGCCGCAGATAAAAATTGCGCTCGACAAACTCATCGTGCGCGTTTCATTCGATCAATGGCGGGAGTTCAGGATTTTGCGCGAAGCCAATTCGTTGGCGTATTCAAAATGGGGCCAGGAGATGGATAGAATAAAGGGCTGGTCCAACGAGATTGAGACAAGTGAGAAACTATCAAAACGTGACCTTCTCGCCGCTAGAAGGCAAATCGAAGAGGCTGCTGAGCTGGCTGTTCGGCCATCTCGAGAACTTGACGATTATTCGGTATCTACTGTGCCATATCTAGGCTCACACGGTCCCGCTTCACTTAAGATGGGGAAGGACCATACCTTCCGGCCCGAAAAACAAGGTTGGTTGAACTTGAGGATCCTTACTGGGAAACCTACAAGAACGGCCTGGGTCCGCCGTTGGACCTTTTTGAGGCATGGGATCTTCGGGTGCCTGGTGCATAGCTCTCGAACCGGCGGTGTGGAAGAAAGTGAGAGAATCGGGGTTCTTCTATGCAGTATTCGACCTGCATTTCAAGAGGAACGTCGATTTTGCTTTGAGGTTAAGACTAAGAACAATACTATAATGCTACAAGCTGAGACTCAACAGGAGCTCACAGAATGGATCGGGTCTTTTGAAGCGGCCAAGCGAAAAGCCCTCGATAGTCCTTTTCCAGCTTCCCTGCCTGGAAATCCGCAAGTCCAAGACCCTGCTTTCTCAATATCTCAGCCGCCGGCACCTGAGTTTGCTGCAGATACCTCGGAGTCCCTCACACCCGGTGCAAATGATGAACCTTCCATCATAGACCGAGTTTGTACTGCCCCGCTTACAGACCGTGATGGTTTTGCAATCCGGAATAGTAGCGACCTGCCATCAAGGCGGTCCACTGCAGTCGATCATGAGGTGGAAAGCGGCGGAAGGGATCATGCAAGTAGGCTTATTCAAAAGCTCGATATCCATCGACGTGCCGCAACAGGATTACAACAAACCAGTACTTCATCATCTCAGTCCAATACGCCTGGTATAGCTTCCCTGATAGCTGCCAGTCACACTCTCCTCCCTCTCGGCGCGCAAGCATCCGGAAACGCTCCAGAAAATGAATATAGACAGCGGTATCCCAACATTTTTAATTACAACACTCGAGATAGCCCGGTGGGATCCCTTGCACCGCCAACCTTGGCGAATCCTCCTGCACCTACTAGTATGAGTAGAGCAGCGGTGATTGTGAGCAGTGAAATCGGATTTGGGGTCAGAATCCCAGATGGGACAGGGGCAATGCCCAGCGGTATGATGGCAAACCTTTGGGGAAGTTCACATTGGGGTTATATGAAGAGTTTGGAGTGTAAAGGAGTACCTGT